TTTTCTATTCCATTCAGTTCTTCAGCAAAACTACATGGTATATGGGCTCCTGCTGAGATCTCCTACTTTCCCTGCACTCTGCTCAGTTTATTGAGCAAATTGCTTAGAAGCTGTGAAACACTAATGTTGAATGACCAAGACTGCCCTCTAAATACTATCTCCATAGGCAAATTCTTACTTAAGAGACCCTGTGGGGAGTCAGCCCACCACCACCCCCCATAACCCTCTCCTGTTCCCTGGGACTAAAAGAGCTATGATTTTGGTGTATTCGGTTTCCAATGTAGTTTGCCCTGGGATTAAACCAGATTGATATTCTGAGCCATGTTTGGTTATTCTTGGCACCAGACAACCACAGTCTCTACCAATCAGGTTATGACGCGGTTTAATGGGAAGTCATAATATATGTAACAAAGCTGAAAACCGAAAAAAGAAAAAAAAAGTTCTAATGCATGAAATACATATAATTCTACAGTAATAAAGAAAGTAAGACAGGCTCAGGTATGTATTTTGTCTTAAGAACAGAGCACAAACACCATTCAAAACAAACTAGAAAGATAAAGCAGAACAGCATCCCTTTATGTTGAAAGCAGCTAGAGTCAGAAGCTACAAAAGGCAAAAGTTATTTGACAGAAATGCCGCCGTTTAGATTTCTTAAAGTTCTATGTGAACTTTTATCCTACCTTAGAGACTGAGAAGGGAGAGAAATATCAGCTCGTGTATAGAATATCCCACAGATCATAGTAATGACTCTCTCAGCTGGAAACAGAAATAAAAGTCGTATCGATGGTGTTAGTGTTAGATGATGCATGTGTGTTTGTCCAAACTCTAATAGAAGAATTTCAAATGGCTTGATCCTGATCACCAATTCCTGGCCAGAAACACATTTTCATTCAAACACAACTAGTCTATTTTTTTTTTCTTTTTTCTTCAGCATCTCCCCTAAACTTACCAAAAACAAATATTTTATTTTGGTTTTGTTCTCTACTCTTCTCGCTATTTAGAATAATTATAAGTCACATAAATAATGATTCACTGGCTACTGGGCCCAGTGGAGAGTTGAAAGGACAAAACAAAGGGAATGTGTTAACATGACTCTTGGAAAGAGCACAGTTGAAATGCATGGTTTAGCATCTGACTGGAAACTGAATCTTAGCTCTTCACTTGACTTCTTTATGCCTCAGTGTAAGAGGAGAATTATAAAAATCAGTATTTCAGTTTATGGTAGTAGCTCTCTGCCTGACAGACAGTTGGCATAGACACATTATTTTGTATCCTATCACACACATGTTTATAAATACATTATTTTTCTATTTTGTATGTATGTACTTTTATATATTTATACATATATTTGCTGTTATATACAATAGTTATTATATTTGATCTCCAATTATGCATTAAGCAATGAGATAGTGCAAATTAGGAAATAAGTAGAAAACAACATACAAATGAGGTTCTTCTTTTTCTGTAAGTTATAATTAGGGAGAGGGGGAATAATCAATCCAACAAAAAAAATCCCAAAATAGTTGACAAGACAGACCAGATTCCCCCGGGGCAGTCCTGATATACGTGTGTTGTCTCAGCATACTTATTAATAGCTCCCTCTTTCTAAAGAGTGTCCTGACTTGACCAATTAAATGTTCGCACACTAATGGTGGCCACAGTCCTAGGATAAACCTGTTGAGAAGAAAAACGTAGTAGTTAAGGACACCTGATCCAGGGAAAAGCTTCCCAGGGTTAGGTGGCGATGAGGGGACATAGCTGTGTACAGAATGAGGTCGAAGCATATTACAGACCACCGATTTCAGAAGGATAGAACAGGGAGTGCAGAGACAAAAGCACAGGCGTCTATGAAGAACTGGAGAAAAATGAAAATACAAAGGGATCATGTAGTTCAAAGGAGAAAACTGCAAAGGACGACACTAGATAGATCAGTAGTTATCAGCTCATAAGGGTTCAGACAGTTTGGACCAATCTATTTTAAGAGCAACACAAAGGAAGAACGGTGTTGTTTACTTGAATGAGAGGATGTGCCATGAACGTGGGGAGTTGTGGGCACAGAAAATAAAGAGCCCGTTTTATTTGGAAGACCTTGGGGAACTGTTTATTTTACAACAAAGTAGTATCACTTTGTGGCCTCCTTCTTCCCAATGGCCAGTGGGATCTGGCTAAGAACCCCAAAGCATGCAGCATCCATTTCGCCGCTGAGTTTACATTTCAGCAGAACAATTCCAGAATGAATCATTGCATGCACAGGTTGTTGGTTATGCCCGGTTTGAAGCCCATTTTCAAAGCTCTTTTCTACTTTGTGTTCAAGGCAAAGTTTGCAGAGATTTATGTGGGGATTTCTTATTCTTCTTGAAAAATATAAAATCTTTCACCAGAGTATTTTTCTCACTCAGTGCAGTGCTGGGCCTCCTTGTTGTTATTCTCCATAAGACCTTTTCAACTTCTACTCAAATCTCTAGCATTTTTATTTAAGAAAGAAAGGGAGCAATTGAGCACAGAGAAACAAGCCTCTGACATGATATAAAATGGGATGGGACGTGAATGCACCCCTTTAAAATCAGCAGAATGTGAGAGAGAAACCAGTAACTTAAGGGGACAAAACTGTGTGCCATCAAATAGGAAACTGATTTTAGGAGGATTCAATTTCTCCAAATCCCCTACTTCTAAGACCCAGCCTAATGTGCAGCAGGGTCTGAGGAATGCATAGTTGTCTAAAGGGATGACAGTAGCTCAACACTGTGAAATAAACCTGATTAAAGAATGATTTTCATCGAGCATGCATTATATATCCAAGAAGGATATGACACCAGTTTACAAAGAGGGGGTTTCATGAGGACAGGAATCTGGGAAATGAGTGAGTGGTAAACTCAAATGAGGCTCTCCCATTTATATGCTGTGTGGCCTTAGACAAGTGTCTTAAGTTCTCTGAGCCTCAGGTTCTTCATCTGTAAAATGGGGATAATAATAGTACCTACCTCAGAGAATTGTTATTAGGATGAAATGTGTATAAAGTACATACAGCAATCCCTGACTCAGAATAAGTGCTTCTTAACAACAACAGTAATAACAAAAACCTACCAATAATTACTAGTCTACTCTAAAATCTCTATAAAGTGTCTGTTTCTATGAAATGATTTAGTCTCTATGTTCCTTCCACCTACTTCAAATCTTCCTAAAACCAAGAACTTTTAACACTTATAGCAAAAACTACCAATTCAAAATTTATAAACAAAAAATTCACACTATGCTTTTGAAATTTCCAAAGATACACCTACACATATACCAAGTCCCTTAGTGATGAGACTATCTGCCCCGATGAAGATGGGAAGGCCAAGACATGGGAAGCTACAGAGGGTCAGAGCTTATCTTTATATCTCTTTGTCTCAGTTTATAGAAAAAGAAAGGCCCCAGCTTCCAGACAGCCATGAAAACAAAATAAACAGGCATGTAAATGAGATGTGTTTTGGATGTGGGTTTGTATATATTGGCAGGAAGAGCAGTGAAACTTTGACTCTACTTTCTTATTCTTTTTTCTGTCCCCCCTCAGTGCCAAAAGAGCTATTTTTAAAAGCATGGGTTTGTGTTTTTGATCATAATGTTATGGCAAAAGGGAAGATGACCTTTACGTTTAGTCAGTAGCTGTTATGCAATCAGCAAGTTCCGCATGGCAGCACTTCACGTTTGGTCACCAGTAATTTGGGTATTCTATGGTTCTTTCATTTGCCCTCACAATTAAACAGAACTTACTAAGCCTAAACATGGTTAGGTAGTAATTTATTCCTTAATTCATTAAAAGAATATATATTCCTTCCCAAGTTCTGCCCAAGCATCTTGCAAGGCCCAGTCTGGTATGGGATAATACAGAGATAGTGAGTGCGCTAAATCTTTACTGACACTTGCAGGTGTTAATCCAGCTCTGTGCACCATGACTGAGACAGAATGTAACAGCTGGAAGCATTTCAGGATAAAGAGATAACCTACAGAAGCACCCACGTGAGATACAATTCCACAGAAGACCTGGACTTCAACTCAACAGGTTCACATCAACAAGAGCAGACTGGAATGCCATTATTTACATAGTGTCCTAATTCTCCAGCATTTCAATTCTTATTTTCGACCACTCCACGGGGGTTAAATTCTGGGACAATTTTCCTAGAGAGAAGAATGATAATTGGGCGCCTGGGTGGCTCAGTCGGTTAAGTGACTGCCTTCAGCTCAGGTCTTGATCCTGGAGTCCCGGGATAGAGTCCCGCATCGGGCTCCCTGCTCAGCAGGGAGTCTGCTTCTCCCTCTGACCCTCCCCCTCTCATGTGCTCTCTCTCTTTCTCACTCTCTCAAATAAAATCTTTAAAAAAAAAAAAGAAGAAGAAGAATGATAATCTCTGGCAAACAATAACAACAAAGGCTGACTTTGTATGTTTTATGCACTAATGTTTATTCCTGGGGAGAGAGGGGGGGGAAAAAACCCTAAATTACTTCTGTGGCCTAATTTTTTTTTCAGACCTTACCTGAGAAACCAATGAAAGCACTTCCTATATTATTCCAAAATTTTGACAGAAACCTGAAAAATTCAGTAAATGTTCCAAATAGTTTTCTTTATACAGAATTGAACAACATGGAAAAACCTCACCATGCCATTAACCGAATTTCTCTATTTTCTTTGGCTATTTGGTGATGGATGGTCTAAGACTGCCCATTAAAATACACTCACATAAAATATGCAGCAGGGAAAAAGAATACGTACTCATGAAGATTTATCTAATCTTCATTGCTAGCTTTTTGTTGTAAAACAAACCTAACTTTTCAATTCCCAAATCTCTGCTCCCATGATGGTATTCTGCAGGGAGAACTATATCTAACAAAATTGGTATCAAATTAGATTTGATCCATCCGAAAAACCAAATAGTATCTCAAAAGGAAAGGGTAGGGGGGGATGGGGTCTCGGCCCTATACTCCCCGTAGAAAGAGTAAAATTTTTAAATTGTGCAAATGAGTAATGTTTAAAATGTGTATCTCTTTATTTGCATCAACAAAAAGCTTCACAGTTTTGAGACCTGTGTTAGAACAGTTAATACCAGCCTCTGAAATAAGCCACCTCTGCCTATCCGTGCCTTAGCCCAACAAAGATATATCTGTCACACAGGCAAAGTCCACTGCTGGTGGCCTTGGGCACCTCTCCCCCAAGCGGCTTATGGGTCAGGATGCCTCCTGTCCTATGGCCTTGCCATCTTGGAGCCTTTTGCTTCCAGCTGCACAGATGGTAGAGAGAATGGGAGATCATGTGGAACAGTCCTGAAAAAAGCAACAGACATTTGAATTGATTTAAATGACACCTGACTGTCTAGGGGTTATGACCTCAGAGCCTCGCTGGCTTTAGTATTTTATCTACAAACAACCTGTTACACAATTCCTGGATCTTCATAAATCACATACGCTCCTCTTAAAGGGTAAAGAAGCAGACAAGTGGACAGGCCAACACACAACGGCCACAGCCTGATTTACTGGTGAAGGGTAGTATAAATCATCTGTAGAAAACGCAACAGTCACATTTCTCACAAATGATACGGCAATCGCTCTCTAAACGTCTTCTGCCCACTCTTCAAGCACCCAAGATGAATGAATATGCATAGCTTCTAAATGGCCCTTCCCATCTGTTAAGAGCCAGGGCCTGCTCAAAACAAGACAACGGGCCCAAAAGGAAGTTGGTTATGCTCCCCCAGAACAGGACTCTTGACCAGTCCAGCGAGAACCGCCCGATGCACTCCTGCCATCCCCCGAGGCACCCCTGCAATGACCAACCCGCCTTCTGCCTAGCCTCACAGCCCTGTCTCCTCTCCCTTCCGCCTCAAAATCTTCGCTTCCATACAGCCCTTTCTGCACCAACCGGCACGCTGCCCGATGCCAATCGATTCTGCTCAAATCAACACTTAGGATTTTTAACAAACCTCAGTTTATCTGTTAACAGTTCTGGGGTCAGAAGAGGGGCTGAAAGAGGACCCCACAAACACGCCCCCCCAAACACACACACACACACACCCTCCCCGGGAGGACCGAGCAGCAAGGCCTAGTACCTGTCCAACTGTTGAACCCGAGGCTCCGTCGCCGCCTCTCGAGGTGGTGTGAGTCCCTCTCAGGATCCCGGCTTCGCAGTTTTTGCGTTCACGAGCTTTCAGGCTTCACTTGAGCGTTTCTCTCCCCAGACTGCGCCTGGAAACTGCTGGAATCGGACTGGGTCCATTCTGACTCATAAGGGCTGCATCTGACCGGATCCCACGGCTGACTGGGGAGACGTCTGCTAGGTCTCACGTCAGACTGAGTCCCACGTCAGACTGGGTCCTATGCCACACTGGGTCCCACCTCAAACCGGTTCCCACCTCAAACCAGTTCCCACCTCAAACCGGTTCCCACATCAGACTGGTTCCGACATCAGATTGGGTCCCACATCAGACTGAGTCGACGTCAGACTGGGTCCCACCTCAAACCGGTTCCCACCTCAAACCGGTTCCCACCTCAGACTGGTTCCGACATCAGATTGGGTCCCACATCAGACTGAGTCGACGTCAGACTGGGTCCCACCTCAACCCCGTTCCCACCTCAAACTGTCTTCTGTTAGACTGGGTTCCACCTCAGATTGGGTCCCACATCAGACTGGGTCCCACGTCCAATGGTCGGACATCACCCTGGGTCGTACAAACGGGACTAGGTTTGGGGTCAGACCGTGTCCAACATAGAAACCGGACTAGATTCAAGAAGGACTGGATCCAGGGTCAGACTGGGTCCAGTGGGAGGAGGCCTCAGGTGAATAAAATTCAGTGTCCAGGCTGAGCAAGTAAGTTAACCTAAACAAAGTTAATCTTAAATTACTGTGGCCACCGTGGAGAACTCTGAACCTCTTAGATAAGCTTATCCATTTATGAAGTGCTCTGGAGAAAAGAGGGTCTCCGCCAAGCACTAACTAGAAAGGGTAAAAGGGAAATTGTTTTTCCGCCTCTGCAGTTTCGGGTGACCAGGATGACATCTGCTGGGACATTCTACGGAGGCCAGAGCCTGCAGCCTGGGATCCTGGGAAAACTGGCTGGAGCCGGCAGAGGGTGACAATCCTTTAAAGTCAGCTCTCCCAGATCTCTGTGGTGCCTGGTCCAAGAGAGGAAGATAAAATTTCACCTTTTCTCTTCTTTTCTAAGTTCAGGATGGCTGGAAAAAAACATATGTAAGAATTAGATCTTTGAATGTGACTGGTGAATTTGCTTTTACAGAACCCATTTGTTGCGGATCCTTTTTCTCCCACAGATAGCTATGGTCTTCCTGTTTGTCTCACTTGTGTGTCCTGAGAACTTGGCTTGGCAACTGTCAAGTTGGGGAGTCCCCAAAATATGGTCAGACAGAAATGTGGGTTGTACTGCAGGTGCAGATAGGGTCCTACGAGCTATTGCCAGGTCTCGGGAGAATTGTCTTTCTTTCTTTTGGTTATTTTTGGGAGTGGCTCTGGACTTCAGGAAGGCACCGTCTTTGGGGATGGCTCTTGTGTTTATGGGGTTGTTTAATAAAAGTGCCAGCAATATTTACTATTTATCCTGCTGAAACCTGACAAAATATTTGAATTTTTTTTTTTTTTTATAGTTGCCCTATGGTCAGAAGTTGGCCAAACTGGAAGCTGATATTCAGAGCCTGATAGGGATTTTTTTTTTTTTTTAGGCCTCCTCTAAGCTAGAATGAAACTATGTAGTGGGGGTGAATTATAGGGGTGAGAGGGTATAATAACAAATTCTGAAGCCTTTGCAGAAGAATTTACCAAAACATTCCAAAGACACACAGCTCTAAATATAAAATATAGGAATCTTCTGATTTCCATCTTCTCTCTGCTATAAAGAAGCAAACTGAAAATAATGTAGTTGGGGGGGGTGCCTGGGTGGCTCAGTCCATTAAGCTTCGGACTCTTGGTTTCGGCTCAGGTCATGCACGACTCAGGGTCAGGGGATGGAGCCTCCAGCAATGGCCCCCATGCTCAGCAGGGAGTCTGCTTGAGACAGTCTCTCTCCCTCTCCTTCTGCCCCTCCCCCCTGCTCGCAGGTGCGCGCTCTCTCTCTACAAATAAACCTTAAAAAAAAGAAAAGAATGGAGTTGGATGGGTGGGTCAGCACCTTACCTTTACAATATGTTTGATCTTATCCATTTTTTAGTTGCACGCCTCCTATTTTAGCCCCCTTTTTACATTTTTTATTAGTTTCTCTAACCTCTGAGCCCACTCTCCGCCTACCAGTTCACCACAAGCAAGCACACACACAAACACTGAATTCCAGTCCTCTGGGAAGGAGACACCAAGATGCTACCAGAAGAGCAGGAGGTTTATTGAATGAAAGACAAAGGAGAGATGAAGCAGAGAAGAGCATTGTCACCTTAGAAACAGAGCCTCAGGCTACTATGCAGATCTAAGATCTCAGCCAGCCAATGGAGAATCATAGAGCAAACACAATGGGGCAGAAAAGGTCCAAACAGAGCCCCCTGCTGTGCTCAGTCCTTGGCTGGATGCCTCCCAGGAGGCAGGGCTTCCTGTAAATGCTAGCATAGATCCCAATCACGTACATATGCATGTGATGCTTACCCAATTTTGTTTGACAAAATTTACTTACTTTGCATTTTAAAAGTATTCAGTTTGGCTTTTGTACCATTTACATACATACACACATACATATGTGTATCCATATTTACATAAAATTCAATAAGAATTTACTGGGTTCCTACTCTCTTCTTTAGACTATGTGTTTTTTCCATCAATTTCATTTACCTCTAATATCTCTAGAGTAAATCTAAGTAGTTTTATCAACAGTGTACACAAATTGTTCATATTTTATTTTCACATCTGAGAAAGTCTTTCTGTTGCTTTTGCTCATGAATGACAACATGCCATGGTATGAAATCTTTGAACCTTGCCTTTTACCACTCCAAACTGTCGAAATTCCACATTTATCTCTTAATGTTACATAATACTAATGAGAAAGGGCTTACTTTTGTCCTTTGTACATAACCTAAGTTTTCTGCTTGAATGTGTAGAGAAATTTTTTTAAGTCCTTGAAATACAAACATTTTGTCAGTATACATTTATGTGTGAGCCCTATTCTTTTTAGTATGTTTTTCAGATTAATCTTACCTGGAAATATGAGTCATTATTTATAGATTTGGACCTCCATTTTAAAGCAGGAAATATTTCTTTTATATCTCCAATAATCCAATAATCATTTCTGTACTCATTATTTAGTTCTTTTGCCCAGATGCAAAAGCACTGGGGCTATTAACATTTTTATCTGAAAATAGACTGGACATAATACCCTTATGCTTCTCAATGTCAGTTTAAAAGTCCTAAGAGCTATTTTGCTAGTCATACTACTAAGCCCCACTTTTATAGCATCATCTTGAAATTTGTCACCCCATTCCTTTACTTCTGTTTCTTACCCAGTCTCAAGTACTCCTCTGGGAAGCAAAAAGAGGTCTCTTAATCATCTGTAGTTTATTAAGTGTCTAATAGACTACAGGAGAAAGCCAATGCTCTGTTTTCCCAGCATTTCAGCTGAGTACCAGAATTTGAGGCCAAATTACAGCAAACCCTTTTCTAATAGAAAAAAAAGAAGGAAAAAAAAAAAGAAACCTCAGGAGTTCTATCATGTCCTAAACAAAGCAAACAAACTTGGGTGTTTAGGGTCTTATCCAAAAAACTTTGTCACTATAAACCAAGTGCAACTCAATGTATCTCAAAAAAGGTGAAGGGGTAAGTCAATGTGGCTATAATTTAAACTTTACAGTTCTAGAGAGTCTCCCCATTTCTAACCTGAGATTTAGACCACTAAACTATCTCCCCTAGTGGATTTATTTGCTTTTTTTTATTTCGTTGGTTAAAAAATGAGTCACTATAACCCAAACACTGCAAGAATCTGCTTTTAAAAGAGCATTAAAACTGCTTGATTGATTCGGTGGGATCTTGGAAACTCTGTTTTGTACTCTGAAAATTATGAAGGCCTTTATTCATTTCAGGACAATCAATGGAGGACGTTACAAAGGCAGTCTCATCTTCAACTTACCATCCTGAAAACCCTCACCCCTGCTCCTCATCCCTTCCTAAATGGCCCCCTCCAATTGCTCCTAAAAGACACCTAAAAAGACTGAACAACCAGGGCTTCACATACAACATACCTAATCAGGGCAGAACACAACGGGACTAGTACTTTGTGTATTGAGGCTAACACTTACTCACTTATTCACTTACACCGAGCATTTGTTGAGTGCCTAGTATGTTTATTCACTACTCCAAATGCTCACAATACAAAGATGAATAAGACTGAGGCCCCAGAGGACAATCTAAATATTCTATGATCATAATTACGATAAAGAGGAGGAAGAAGGAAGCAGAAGGAGAAGGGAGGTAGTGTTATCCCCATTTTACAGATGACAAAACTGAGGCATGGAGAGGTAAAGGAACATACCCAAGCATACAGTGTTTGCAGGTAGCAGGACCAAAATTCTAAGGCTTGAGTCGGCCTTCGGCATACACAATCATAACCTCCGTGCTCTACTATCTCAATAGGAGACTGAACAAACGAATCAGAAAAGGAATTCATTGTAACTGCATTTGCCCCTTGATTCAGCTGAAGTCACCATCTTTGCACCAATCATGTAGTACAAGCTCAGTGCGCTAAGTAGGTGACCAGACATTCTCGACCACTGGGGAGAGTAGCAGGTCACCTCTGCTGTTGTGGTGTAATTACTAGTAATGCCAACTTTCACTCTCTGAAATATACCCATTTGGGTAGTAAATTTTATAGTCATCCTAGCATTAAGAGAGCCACATTCAAAATATGGTGGGAAGACAATGAGAGAGCAACTAATTTTCCATGGGAGAAGGGTCTGGTGTTCCAAATGACTTCGTTTTATGGTTTATAAGAAATCACTGTTTTGCATTTCACCTGCTAACCAAATCATCCTGCATTCGTGTACTGGCGGGCAAAGAAATATCCAAAAAAGAAGATACCAGAAAACTTGTCTAATGCATGAATTGGGTCCTTCTTATTAAATTGAACAATTCCAGGGGTCCCTGGGTGGCTCAGTACGTTAAGTGTCTGCCTTCAGCTCTGGTCATGATCCCAGGGTCTTGGGATGGAGCCCCGCATCTGGCTCTGAGCTCAGCAGGGAGGCTGTTTCTCCCTCTCCTGCTGCCACTCCCCGACTTGTGTGCTCTCTCTCTCTCTCTCTGTCAAGTAAATAAAATATTTAGAAAAAAAATTAAAAAGTAAATAAATTGAACAATTCCAA